GAAATATAGGCTCAAACTAATTTAATATTGAATAGTAATTTAAATGATGGAGGTATTGAAGTTGAAACATGTGAATTAGAAGAAGATTAGGAACCAGTAAAAAACAACAATTAATTTAGGATCCAATCTTTAGTGATAGATGGAGAAGAAATAGAGTTTTAATGATGGCAGGTATTAATATAAACTTATTTTTATAAAAATAGATAATTAAGAAAAAATTGAAATTGATGACAAATTGAATAATGATAATAGCAAATCTGTTTCTAAATCAAAATTATTTGATACTAGAAAAAATACTGTTAGACTTCCCACAACTCCACCTCCTCCTAATTAGTTTGGAGCTAAATTAATCTAAATTTATTAAGAAGAATTTGAAGATGAATTTGAAGATAAACTTAGAAATGCTAAATTATATGAAATGAAGAAGAAGAATGAAATTGAATAAAAAAAGAAAGAAGATAAATTATAAAGTCAAGTAAAAGATATAATAATAATACAATTAGATAGAAAAAAAGGATGGAGCTACTTAAAAATATACTTATGATTTTGATGGAAAGATCATATTAGCTAGAGCAATTAAAATGGACAAATTGTAGCCTACCAATTAAAAATTGAGAGTTGAATTAAAAGATTAAACAAAATAAGATTAATAACCAAATATAAAGAAGATAGGAAGAAGGGATTCTACAAAAATTAACAAACCTATATGTCCAGAATAGGAAATACCTAATAGAGTATCTTATTAACATATAAGGTTATATAAGAACGAAGGGATGCTGCAAAAGAAGTTATTGGAGATAAAGCATTAAGAGTGGATAAGACTTCTTAATTTCCTTATGAAGTATTTACAATGAATAATGGAGTAAAATTATATTTTGAACAAAAAATGAAAGAAGGAGTAAGACATTAAATTAGTGATTCAGCTGAAAATTTGTAAATAAAATTATCTGGTTCTAATTTACTATCTGGAGAAGATGCAACATAATTTGCATAATAAATTAGATTAACTAAAGCTGAATACCAATTAATAACAGATGCTCAAACTTTACAATAAACTAGATAATAATTCATGCCATCTGAAAATATTAATATTCCTGATCATGATTAATAAATTACTCAATAATCCATTTTATTAAAAAAAAATAAAGCAACTTTAAATAATAATAATCATTCCTCAGAATCTAAATAAGTCTAATTTAATGCTGGAAAATCATAGTAAAATCCATTCAAACGAGAAAGTCCAATTTTACAATCTGCATAGACTGAAAGAATCTAACTTAAAAATGTTAAAATGATTGAAAATCTATTAGTTACTGGTGTTCCTGATACGCCTAAATCATCAAAACCTGATTAACCACCAACATCCATACCTGATAATGCTTCTACGTATTATTCTTAAATTAATAAAGTAATCCTATCGATATCTTTAATTAATAATTATTAAATTAAAAGGAATAAGGTAAACAAGGTTAAGTTAAAACATCATACTTTCCTCCTGTTAAATAATAGAAAAGATCATTAGAAACTAAAGCATACAAAGGTTCTTTAGAACAAATGTAAATTAAAATAAAAAATAATTAAATAGGTACAAAATGCCAAGAGAGAGATTAGTTGCTTAAACTGGAAGAACAGCTATGAATTTTTATAAACAAAATTAAGATGGTAAATATTCTTATTATTTATATTTTAGGAACAAAGAAAATTGCAAAATCAATTAGTGATGGATTTATGCAAACATTTTATACCACTCATACAAAATTTAGTGAAAAACTTAGATAATGATTAATAGATTAATAATCTTAATATGAGCATTTAGATATCTAATATAACTAATTATTAAACTATGTCAGATAGTCAAATTAATTAACACATTGAAGAACTTTAACAGCAAGGATTGCGTCTTTGACGTTATATAACTAAATTTGAACTCATTTATAATTCTGAACTACTCCAATTTTCTGATTCCAACCTTTACAAATCTCTAGGTTTTATTGTTGTTGATTATAATGGAGCAGAATCATTACCTTTATAATAATTATGGTTAGATATTTAAAACTAAGAATCTGGAGACTTGAAAACATATTTTATATATTTTACATCTTCGATAATGTTGTTTAAAGAATCAGCTAATTCTATTAAATGACTTTCAGATAAAACTACTTCTTTTTCTTCATTATAAACTTAAAGAAAAATCTAACTACTTTGACTACTTTCAGGTCTATTTCTTTATACAATCAATTGTGATTTTGAGATATTTTCATCAGTATTACTTACAATTGTTTTTATTTCATCCTTTTTTTCAGTTTTCTCAGGTGAAAGATCTTTAGGAGGCCTAAATTACAACTTAATCTTTTTACCAAAAGAAAGTTTAAATATCATTTTAAAAACCTAAAAATTTAGTTTCTAATTGATTTTATTCAATTTAATTTGTTAATTAAGAAAGATCCTTTTTTTAAAGAAAGATTATTTTATCTTATGATTCAGGTTTTAAGATTTAAATTAATCGATTGAACAAGCAATTATAAATATCTTCAATAATATAAATTTTATGAATTCTTCCATAATAATTTTATTCACATTTCTTCACAAAATCCATCAATTCATTTGTTAAGTGATATTATAATTAAATTAAATTTCCCATATCTATTAAAATTATTGTTGATTCAACATAATAAGATATTAAAACATCTCTAATTAGCATATTGAATAAATAATCAAAACCCATTGTAAAATCTTTAAGTTTGTACTTTTGTAAATATCATATAAATATTACTTTAAGTGCTTTAAATATGTTAATTATGATGACTGGTCTAAAACTCTTATCATGTCCATGTATGTAAACAGCCCCATTTAACTTTTAGATCAAATTAAAAAATATACAACAACATCATTCGGAGTATGTGATAAATTAATTTTGTTTCTCCAACTCAGATGTTGCTTTAAAACCTTTTTGATTAAATCTATATATAGTACTTCAATGGTATTGGAAATGTCATAATCACAATAGGCTAGGATTCTTAAGTAATCACTATCTTACCATCTATTCTAATAGTATTTTATATACTCTTTGGGTAATCTCAATGGTGTAAAGTTAACCAAAGCTTACTTTAAATTTTTTAACTACTCTTTTTCCTAAGGCTCCATTTCAATATTCTCAAATATTTTTCTCTCTATCTTCCCTGAAACTATAATCTTGTCAGCTTAATATTTTTTTAAAGATACATACATCCAGGTTCAATTGGTTTTTCTTTTTTTAAATAGCCAATCATATTTTTATGTAAATTAATTAAGCTCTCCCAATACATTGTGCTTATTGTTTTGATGTGCTAATTGCATCTTTACAATAAAAAGATGTACCTAAGCCAACCTTCTAAGAATTTGATGTCCCAGTCTTTGTTACTTTTCATGCAAATAAAGAAGATTTAAGAGGATGCATAGGAACTTTTTCCCCTGGACCTTTAGGTCAACAATTAGCAAAATATACTTTCCTGTCAGCTTTCAAGGATAGCAGGTTCCCTCCAATATAAACAAAAGAATTAAATTCACTAGATGTTGGAGTGAGTTTGTTGATCAACTTTTAGAAAGGAAAAAAATGGAATCAATGGGAAGTAGGAAAACATGGAATTATTATTGATTTCTAAGAGGGGGGCAGAGGTAAATACTATTTATTTCTTTTTAGAATATGGAGCAACCTTTCTACCTGAAGTAGCAGCAGAATAAGAATGGGATATCAATACAACTTTGGAACATTTGATTGCAAAAGCAGGATACAGAAAGAATTACTAAAATGTTTTAGATAAGATTGATTTGACCACTTATGAAACATCTAAAGCTAAATTGACTTATGCTGAATATTTAGAATTGAAGAAATGATCAATATAATATAAATTATGAATAATGATTTCTATAATATATAATTCATCCCTAAATATATTGCAAAAGAATCATTTAAAAAGGAGTGAGAGATGTAAAAGCTTAAAATAAACATAAATATATATTATGATTCTTATATTAAAAAGGGATAGTTTAAAGGCTTGAATCTAAAATAATCATTTTGAAAATCATTAATCTTACTCTTCAAACTCATAAATATTAGAAACAATTAAAAGAGCCTTAAAAATTCTCTATTTATTATAAGGACTTTTATAATTAAAAAAAAACAAAGTTTGAATTTCTGATATTTTATTAATAAAATCATGGTTTTTTACGAGGGTTTCTTTTAGCTAAAGCTGCTTATGTTTCATCCTTTTTTAATCTTAAGAATTTCTCTAATACTACTTTATCATCTAATTTCAATTATTCAAAATGACTTTAAACTTTTTATTCTAATGTTAATGTGTTATTTTAATCTAAGAATGGCTATTCTTTCTAATAATATGTCTAATTAGCTTAATAGCCAACAATTTTACTTGATATCTTTGTAATGATCCTTATGATAATTTTGAAATATTAAAAAACATTGGTGTTTCTCGAATAGGTTATTATTATTCATTCATTTTTTATTTTATTTATTTAACTCAATATAACAAATCAATCAATTTCATAAATAAAACAAATAAAATTTGATCTACTTTATAAAAATACTAGCTGTCACTAATAGAGATCTTAAAATAAAATAAAAAAAATATAATCAATTAAATTGAAACCATAAATTTATAAGAATCATTAAAATTCAAATATAGTTAATAATTCCTAGAATAATGGAAATGAAGTTGAATTTATTTATATTAATTCTTTAAATTTAGATTATATAATGATTACTTACTTAATATTATATAATTATTCTTCATATTTTATGCATTTTAATTAGGTGTTAAATATATTCAATTTTACAAAGTATTTTCAATAAAAAATTGTAAATGATAACAAAATTATTAAAATAAAATAAGATGATTATTTTATTTTAGAATTAAAGTCAAAAGGAATATAAATTGATTGATTTATTAGATTAAATACAAGTAGGTGGATGAGATATGTAGAAGTGAATTTATCATATAGAATCAAATTATGATGCATCCGCATGATTATTTAGCATCTTATAAGGGTTCTTCAACATTATATATTTTCCAGTTCTCTACTTCGAAAACTTTAGTTAAAGATTATTATTTGTCTAACTCATCTATGAATACTATTCTATGTTTTTTTGATCCTTGAGCAATTATATTCTTAAATTTATCACATCTCTGAGATGTAGGGATATCTTTTTTGGAAGCTTTTAAAATACCAGATTTTTGGGTATCCATCAAATAATTAATATTAATATTGATCATATTTGTAATTAAATTAATCATCAGAATTATTAGTTCTCTTCTTAAACCTATGATTATTATTCTTGGACTGGTTGTTCTTAGGGTTAATTTACATTAATTTCTGCTGCTTCTTATTATTATTATTCTTACTATTATTATTATTATTCTTATTATTATTCTTATTATTATTCTTAAGCTTCTTAAGGCACTTCGTTTCCTTTTTCTTATGGAATTTCTTTGGGTTATTATACTTCCTATTTTTATTATTCTTGTTTTGGAGGAATTTATGGTTGATTAATACCTTAAAATGGGAACGATGATTATTACTATGGAACTTATTCCATTCTTTATTTCAATTCTTCATTACTCATAGGACCTTACATAATAAGTTATTCCATGATAGATTAATATTTTGTATCAAGTTATTTCATCTTAATATTGAAACTGCTATTTGGTTATTGACTATAAACTTGGGTAGCATATTATAAAATTTTGCTTCCTGGATCTTCAAATTTATTTAATCCATACTATTCTAAGATTTCTTTTCTAGTATAAGTAATAGGTTTTACTTAGAACTATCCATTTTGAGGGATTGCATAATTTCCATCATTTTGGGACTTTAGAAATTGATTTATTCACCTCTTTCTTGTAATTCTAACAATTTTTCATTTAATTTTAAGGCACTTTCTGTCATGACCTTCTCTAGTATTTCAAAAGTTGTATCAGCAGTAAGAAAGGCTGGGATATCTGTTTTAGGATCTGGAGATTAACCAGAAAAGGATCTATCAAAAGATTCTTTCATTTGCTTTTATAATTCTTTGATAGTAGGATCATCACGATAAACATTTTGACAATAATGTTCAACTTACTATTTGGTCATTCTAAATTAATTATAGACCATCTCTTCGACTTATTCTATTTCTCCTCTAAACATGGCTATATTAGATATTGAAGTCTTACGTTGTTCTAAGAGCATCATTTTAATATCTTCAGGTCTAGCTCTTCCCATGGATTATTGTTTAATATTAATTGCGACTGCAGCAAAATTTTGAAATACAGTGAAAAGCTCTTTCTTCAATTCCTTTAAGACTTTGATGATGGTTTCTCTATCAATATTTTGAGGTTCAATAGTTGACTTTCTATTTTATATTTAAAGCTGACATACCCATCTGTTTTCTTCATAAATTTGAAAAATAGAACACTAGCTCCAGTTAAGACTGCTGCTCCTGTGATTAATGTGAATATATTTTTGTTATTTACTTTGCTCATTTCACCACAAATTTAATAATTAAATATTTTATTAAAATAAAGACTTAGTGAGATGAGTAAATACTTACTAGATACAATTAGATGAATAATTATAATAAAGATGAATAATAATATGAATGGATGAATATTAATTATTAATAATAATAAATCATTCCATTTTTAATTCTGGGATATATTCATCAGGATTAATAGGCAATGGAACTGATCTTTTATATCCTTTGAGTAATTCTTTCAGTTTATCAATACGTTGTGTCAAATCTTCTACAATGTCTCTGGGTGAAAGATCTTCTTATTTAAGTAAATGATGCAATTTGACAATTAAAAATCCACCACAAGGAGAAGTGATACAATCATGTAATCTATCCATGATGTCTACATCTTTTTGTGCTTATTCATAGATTGAATCAATACAACCATTGATAAGATTGGTAGCATAAATATCATCAACTCTTTCATCATCAAAATAACGTTTTGCTTTGATCCTATCAAGATATTTAAGTGTTTAATTAGGAACCACATCTTTCATGTAAAAAGATTCCATAAAATCTTTAGTTGTAGATTGATTATATAAGGCTTCAATAGTTTTTTCTGTAGTATATAATCTTAATTTAATTTTGTTTGGGAAATTCTTTCGTTCTGGTCTATCAATTTTAATAGAGTAAATGATTTCTGGCATAGCAATCTTATTTACATATATGTAATAAGCTGGTATTTTAGAACGTTACTTCCAGAAATTGATTTCTAAACTATATTTATATTCTCTATTTTATTTTCTCTTTTTTCTTTAATGAATATGTTCTGATTTCACTTTATAAAGATCGTTCTTTTATTATTCAAATATTTCAGGATCTCTCATACAATCCATCAATTTAATAAGAATTTAATATGTTTCCTTTATGACATCATTACATACTACTTTTTTCCTTTCCTTTTCATCCAATAATAATCTCAACTAATCAATAAATTCAATTACACATGGATCCTACAAAATTACTTAAACTCTTTCTTTCATAAAAGCAATATATTCTAATGTCATCTCCAACACAGCTTAAATTACTTTAGGTTGAGATAACATTTACAACCATTATCGTTCTACTAATTATTAGAGAATTTCCTCCAAAATAAAATCAAAAGTCTATTAACTTGTATTTTAATCAAGTTAATATTAGTAATTGATATCAATACCTAAATTCATCAAAACTTCTTCACTAACCAATTAACAATAGAACTTTTTGTTAGGTGTTATAGTTAAATCAACAACTTCATGAGAGGATCTTGGTTTCCTATTAATTTTCAAAGCATAAATTAATTCAGGAAGTGGAGTCTTTTATTATAAATAGAATGTCAATAATTGTCTACATCCTTATTTGAAATCAGTAGCTGCTCCTATTTATTTCTGTTTCTATTTGTGTTTATGCAATTGATAAGTTGAAATCTCAAGAAATGAATTACGGAATTTCCCTAAGAAAGTTCCATCATCCTTATCACTATAATCATCATTCTCTAATGATTCAATATACATTAATTATATCAATCCTAAAATTACATTCCAACTTTAAGGTTTGACTAATAATAATCCTTCTAATTATTTTGATGAATAATATGAATTAAAAATTTTGTATGGAGTAATTTAGGACTAAATCTACTCGTTATAATCGATTACCAAATCTTACTAACAATCACTATTTAAAGTACACAGAGAGTATTAACTTAGTCTCTCTTAAGAATTAAGCACATCAAGAACAAAAAAGAATTTAACTTAACAAAAACTAGTAATTAATTTTAACTATTCTAATCCAAGCAAGCTCTATCCAATAAAAAAGATGATTCAAATAATTATTACCATCATACTACAATTTATAATGTCAAATTAAGCAAAGAAACTAATAAAGTCTCTAAGTATTATTACCATTATTTAATCTATAGTAATCAAGAATTAAATTTCTCTTAATATAATGAAATTTAAACTAAACTAATGGTTTCTGATTTCAAAAAGAAAGTTGATGCATTCATCAAAAAAAACAATTACAAATCTAATTTGATTAGCAGTAAAATAACTTCTTCATCAAAGGAATTACAATAATAAATAAAATATGAAGAATCATTAACCAAATCTTTAAGCTCTAATAAATACATTGTTTAAACTGAAAGTATATTTTTGAATTCATTCATTTTAGAAAAATCCGTAAAAGCCTTAGAGATATTTATACTAGGAACCAATAAAGTTGTTACTAAATAATTAATTTCAAGTGAACTTTTACAATAAAGATTATTGAAATAAAAGGAAACTTTTTTAAAAGATGACAGATTTAATTATGATTTGAAGTATCTATTATTTATTATTTAGAATGACAACTATGATAGAATAATATGCAGAAATTGTAAATAGAATTCAAGAAAAAGCATTTACTGTAAAAATACCAGATAATTATATCATTTAAATGAGTGATTACAATGAATATTATTAAATTAAAGAAGATTCAATGAATAACTTTCTTGAAAATAAACTAGAAATAATAGCTGATCAAATTATTCATGATATCTAATAGTCTAAAATAACTACTCCTAAAATTTTAAGCAATTAAAATAGTTAAATATATGAATCAATTGTATAATATCCAATTTACTAAATTGAACATAAGATCAATACTGAACCCACTATTGTTGATGAATAAGAAATATTATCAAAAGAATCAGATCATATTGAGTAAATCATCCCTGATACAAAGAAATCAAATAAAAAGAGTAGATAAAAATAAAAGATTTAATAAAATAGAAATGAAATAAATTAATCAGAATAATCAAGTATATCAGAAAACTTTAATTCCTCTATTATTAGTTCTAATATTAAAAATAATGATGATATCTTAAGAAAAAATAAAGAAATATCAATAATTGAAGAAGAGTAAGAACTTAAATAAAAAGAAAAGAAATAATAAATTATTAAAAAACTCAAAGAATTCAACTAAAAATTCAAACCTAATAAATATTTGAAGAGATAATCTGAAAAATTAATAATATCAATTGAAGACCCAATTATACTTGTAGAACCAAAAGAAAAACTACTTAAAAAATTAAGTCTAAGACCTTCAGATAATATTACTACTATGAATGAAATTAATGAGATTATTAGAAATAAAAAAATATAGTTGTAAGAATATCAATAAATTTTAATTTAGACAGTAAGAATAGGCTAATGAGTAATAATTATAGAATAAGAATAATGGTTTATAAAGACCCTTACAATTGATTATTAATGGCAAACCATTTAGTGAATTAAAAGAAGCTGAATTATGGGATTCTAAAAGAAATTCTCCAAGGTCTTTCAAAAAAAAAAGATAGTAAAATATACCCAATTCAACTGTTTCAGAGTAGAGTTAATTTGGGTAAAAATAAGAAATTAACTTAAATGAGTAGTAGAACAATATTATAGAAGAATCATAAAACTAAATTGATTCTACAAAAAACTTGTAGGAAAATAAAGAAGATAATAATAATGGCAATAATAATGATAATGATTATAATGATAATGATTATAATGATAATGATAAGAATAATAATAATAATAATAATAATAATAATAATAATAATAATAATAATAATAATAATAATAATAATAATAATAATAATAATACCAGTAGTGATTATCAATAAATTATTAATGAAAAAATAATAAGCATTGAAGAAAAAATGAAATAAGAATGTTAAGATATTTTTGATATTTTATTGGCCTAGGATTCAGTGTATGATCTAACAATTGATGATTATTAAATTGGGAAACCTCATTCTTATAAAGTCAATCATACAAATTTAATATTCCATCAGGAATAGGAAGAAAAAGTCTTTATTCATTAGTAAATGTAATAATAAATTTAGGGTATTATGGAGGAGAGAAATACAATAGGTGATTCCTAAACTTAATTCTGTTAATAAATAAATGTCGGTTTAGATCAATTCAGAAGATGAGTATATTTAAGATAGTTAACAGCATAATGTTGAAGAAGATTAAGATATTGATAATGTACATGATGAAAATAAAGATTCATAAATCTGACAAACTGTTTCCCTATAATACTCTAATTATTTATACTTTTAATGTTTATTAATATGATATAAAGGATGCTTAAAATATATGGAATATCTTAATTATATGTACTGATCTATTAAAAATTTATGGATTATTTATTTAATCAAATTGGTCTTAATATAATATAAATATCAATCACTGTTACACAGTTTGAATTTCTTTTTGCCAACACATTGTCCACAGTTAGGACAATAATGAACTCTATCTTTTGTGCTCTTTAATACAAAAGGTAGAAACACAAGTGGCAAGAAGAATATAAATATGAAAAATGCAACAATCCAAGTTTATGGACCTGCTCTATATTACATTAGAGTAGTTCCAGCTTTCTTACAATATTTACATTAAATTTAAATAGGGATTATGGATCCTTGAGCATCAAATGGAAGATTAGTTCCATTAGAATCTGTATTGTAAACAGGTGTAATAAGAAAACCTGTTGGTATTGGTATTCCTAATGATCTAAAGAATTTATTACCACTTTGGATGAAATGATTCTAAGTTGGTATTCCTATGAATACTTTTTCTGTATTTTCCTCATACCTCACATCTGCTAAATGTGGATAGGTTATTTTCTGTATTTCAGATTCATTTAGTTAAGAATGAGTTGAATGTGACATATAAAATAATGATTTAGTTTTTCAATAAAATATTCCACATATTTATATACATATTCCAAAATTTAAATCCTTTCTGAATTTCTTGATTTTATATTCTAATATTAGAATTATTAATAATATATAATGAATTTCTATTTCTATATTTTTTATTATAGTTTATTTATATCGTAATAATGTAGCTTTTTTGTAAGATTCTCAAAATAATAAAGGTGATGAAGAGTATTTTAAGAAAGATCTCATTTGTAATAAAACAGATAAATTTACTTGTATGGGATGCTTACATTATTCATTTAATGAAGATATCAATTTGGCATATTCAATAGTTGGTAAGTAGTTCATTTAATTCATAGTTCACATAATATAAATTATTGTAGTTGGATTATCATCATTAGTTGGTTTAGGTGCAGAAATTCAAAAAACATCTATATTGATGGCTTTATTACATTACAATGAATATGAAGCAACTAATATTACATAGTACCCAATTTAATATTATTAGTTATATTTCTATAGTTTCAAGTTTTATGTATCTAACATTTCTTTTCTGTAAAAATGAAATAGGCCTTATTGATTTACATGCTGCTTAATTATTTTTCCCTTTTATAGTAATTTTTACAGACATTGGAAATTATTTCAATAGAGCTTTCTACGATTAAATAATAGTTTTAATAACAATTAGTTTAGAATATATATGGATTATATTATTAACATTAAAATATGATAGATCAAGAAATCATGAAATTGAATCAAAAAGAAAAGAGATAACATTAGATGATAATCTTATTAACAACCCTAAAAAAACCTAATCTTTTTTAAGTCTTAATCAACAACCAACCAATAAAAGTAGTTCGAAAAAGGCTCTTATATATATTATAATTTACTAATTGTTCTTACAAATCCTTCTATTTATTTTAAGAGGAGGTAATAAACTTTAATTTATTCATTTTGAATATAGCGGTGGTTGGTATTGGTTTACAACAATAATTATTTATATTTTGGGATTATTATTTCTCTATTATCTTTACTAAAAATAGGCAAATGATTATAGGAGACATATGGATGATGATCCCTATTTTTATGAGATTAGACCTTTAAATTAAAGTTAATTATTGATTTTGATTGCTTTGATTTCATTTTTCTTTAGTGGAACTGCAGGAGTTGGGGCTGGGTTGATATTAATCCCTAGTTGTATTTTAATCTAAAGATTTCGAATGAGTATTTTAAAGGCTATCAGAACAATGATTTTTGTACAATTTCTAATTGATATATGTGTTATACCATAAACTATTTAAAGTAATGAGATTTAAGATAAATATAGATTATAATTCTGTGTAAATTAAAAATCAGTTATTTTACATGGCAATAGGATGTTCATCTTTCATTTTTGTCACTGTCTGGTTACACATATTATTTATAAGAGAATAACATTAACTTAAATTAATTATCATTATTATTGGATTATTTGCTTTTGATTTTATTTTGGGAATCTATTAAGCATACACATTTAAAAGTCCAATTAGGGGAAATCCTTATTTCTCAATTTCTATTGATGATTGTTCTATAAATTGTTAATTTTAATAATGATTAATAAATTCTTAAATAAAATTAACTATAAATTAAACTACTTAAGGTTTGAAAAAATTCAATAGGAGTAATAAAAAGATTAATTTAATTAGACTCTCTTAACTTAACATATTTGCCGTACTCCATTTATTAGATGTTAATTAATTAGCTTATTTAATAAATGGAAATTTAGGTTATAATGTTTATGTATTTATTTCAATTTATTAATTAATCATATAATCTATATTATTATTCAGATTAAATTGTTTTTCTCTTTCTTTCTTAAGAGTATTTTTATTTTGTAAAATACTATTATTATAAAAACATTTAAATTATTACATATGATAAAAATATTGACTATTTCAGTATAACTTATAAATTTAAAAAAATCTTCAAATTTACCATTAAAAAAAATTTGGATTTATTCAGATTAAATTTTTTAAAGTAATAATTCTTTTGCTGGCATAACATAGGTCCATTAATTCTATAATTTCATAATTTTCCTCAATTATAAAGAAACTAAGTGGAGCGGATTCAAATTGTGTATTTTTCACTTAGATTTCCTTAATAAATTTAGTTTTAGAAATGAGTAAAAAGTTATTTTCATCACAGCTAAGAAACAATTTTAAAAGTTCTTTTGTTCTCATAGCCAATTCTAAAGCCGACAGATTATTAGATATTTCAAAATTAGCTATAATCTTTTAATTAGCTCTACATTCTCAATTTGAGTATACTTTCCAATTTTTTTTAATTTTTTCTCATAAATTTCTTTTATCTAATGATCATTTCATTTCATTAATACTCTCCTTATATTTAAATATGCAATTTTTAATTCAATCGTGTCTTAACTCTTTTTATAATTCATAGTATATTAATCTTGTGATGAGTTCCTTTTTTTAATTATTCAATTGACACTCCTAATATTTTAATATATTATAAAAAGTAAAAATAATTAAGGACAATTCTCCTGTTTATATTTGAAAATATACTTGTCAAAGAAAAAAATAATAATCCAAAAAATAATCATGAATATACAAACACAAAGTGAAATTGAATTGAAACTTTCTGCATTTGAGAAATTAGGGGACAATCCAACAGAAGTAGATATTAAATATGTGAGCTATTTACTCAAAATTCCATTACAAACTATACGTTAATGGTTAGAAGAAAGAGCTGGACTAGATTTTTAAATTGATTTATCACCAGCTGAAGATAAAGAATGTTCAATAATAGGATGTGTTATGAAAAAGAAAAAATTAATAAATTAATAAAGTTCAGTTAAGGAAGAGGAAGCTTAATAGAAATAAACAAAAAATTAATCCATAAAATCATCAACTGATACAAAATAAAATCATGATATAAAAAAAAAGAAATAAAATGATAAAATAAAATAGATTGATCCAAATAAATAAGCTTAAAAGTCTTTAAAAAAATAAGCAAAATTAGCTGCTAAATAAGCCTAATAATTTTTATATGAGGACTCTAAAACTCAAGAAAAAAACATATTGGATAATTAAAAATAAAAACTTCCATTTTCTATACAAACTTAAAAATTAGTATAATAAATAGATATTACAAATAAAATTAATAATATTGTATAAAATATAGATAACTATAATCAATAATAATAAATAAGAAAATAAAAAAAATAATACAAATTACTAAGTTAAAAAAAGAATTTAATTCGTTTAGATAAAGAAAAAAACTAAAAAGAATTATAATTATAAATAGAATAATGTAAAGGATAATAAAGATAATGCTTAATTGTTATTGATGATGAGATTAATTAGAAAAACTAATTATCTACTAATCAAAATAATGAAAGGATTCAATCTAATTATTATAAAACATTAAATCAAAATAAATTATATAGTAATGATAAACTATAACTTTTAAAGGATCTATCTTATTTTTAAGATAAAAAGATAAAGAAACCTATTTAATAAGCATTATAAGAAATTTAATTTGGATAAAATAAACATTCAGAAAATAATTTAATCAAACAAAATGAGTAGAAATAAAATATTATATAAATAAATCATTAAAAGCACAATTAATAATCATAAGCAATTCAAAATATAAACTAAACATAAATGTAAAATTTTTATTTATAAAATAACCAATAGTAACAAAAATTAAAATAATAAATTGAAAAGAAATCATTTAATAATTAAAATTTGAATTAACAATCTTAAAGGTAATAATCAAATTTAAATAATGAATCTCTGAAATTACCACAATAGCATCTATAATAATAACCAAATTATCTGGCTTAAAATTGTAATTCTTAATCAATACCAACCTAATCAAATCTAACTAATTAACCAAATAAATCTTCACCAATTTAAACAACACCAACAAAATTTTAGAATCAAGAGTCTTAGTTATAGAAATAACCTTAGATTGGATCTGAATCGAATCTTATATAAACTTAATTTAACCAGGCCATACAAGGACCTATTACATAAAACAACTTAGATAAGAAATTATAATTGCCCAATTATTTAGTAGAATTGATTCAGATGTTCAATAAAAATACTTAAGCTTTAGGATAAGCAGTTTAATAAATTACAGCAGTTAGTAATTAATAAATGGCTTTAATGGAGAAACTTGATATAATTTATGAATGTGTTAATACAAAGTGATATTATTATATCTTAATATATATATATAATGAATGTATTTGGATATAATAGATAAACATTTAGGTAAAATTGATGATAATAATTAAACATTTATTTTTCTTTAATAGACCAAAATCTTATAATTAAAATTAAGGAGTAAAATTAGACTTAAAAGATATATATATAATGAATAAAAACCTAAAAATGATTAAAATATGGATGCTAAGGAATTAATAATGAAAAAATAAAATATATAAAGGTATTTTTCAAAATCAGGGATGGAGAAATTGCATATAATTCTATACTAGAGGATATTTAAGTTTTACAATTGAATTTGAACTTAATGAAATATTATAATAATATATTTATATAATAAAATGAAAGGAAGAACTGGAGGTTTAACAGCTAAAATGAACAATGTAAAAATAATGTTTAATAATTTCATTAGTAAAATTAAAATAGAAGATAATAAGAGAATGATCAATTAGTAAGGAAAGCTGATTAAAACAAAATATCATTAGCTGAAATTTTCATGGCCAATTCTTAATAATTAGGAGGATTGGAAGATGGAAAAGTATTATCTAGGAATATGATAGGTGACTAAAATGTATTTTCACAAATTTTTATTCATGGAATAAGTTTGTTTTGCATTCAATTTAATGGGATTAGGAATTAGTGTTATATAATATGACTTAGAATATGAAGAATTTTATAATGATGATCCTATGAAAGATGTAATATAAAGGATAATTTTAGATTTCCTTATGGCTATTATGGTTAGTATTTGTATCATCATGTCTATTGGTTTTTTTAACAGTTTATCGTTATTAAGCTCATATTGAATGGATGAAATCAAGAAAATCGATGGCTCCAGGAGATTAAATTTGGCATACTGATGATTGGTTACCAATGCTCATAGAATTAGCAGTTTATTGTATTATTCCTCTTCCATTTACTAAAGGAATTAGAGTTAACTTTTATAATTCAATTTAAGGGAGTGAAGCTTATTATCATGTTAATGAGATCTTATCTTTAATTATGATTTGCAGAGTCATTTACTTATACAGAACTCTATTAACTCTTACTTTTTGGTATAATAATAGAACCCAAAGAGTTTGTAATTTATATGCTTGTGAATCTAATTATATGTTTGTGGCCAAATCCTTATTAAGAACAATGCCATATACTGCCTTATTTATAGCTTTGATTTCATTAATCTGTATTTTTGGATATGCTGTAAGAATTTGTGAAAGACCACTCTCAAGAAATGATTCAACAAGCAATAATTTAGGAGTGTTTTAAAATGCTCTATGGAATATCATTATTACTATAACTACTGTAGGTTATGGTGATTTCTATACTAGAACTGATTTAGGCAGATTTGTCATCTTTATAGTGTGTGTTCTTGGTATCTTTGTAGTTTCAGTTATGGTTGTTACTTTAATTGAATCTCTAAAGGTTACTTCATTAGAAGGTCATGCAATTACAGTTTTAGAAAGAGTTGCTTTGAGAGAAAAACTTAAACATGAAGCTGCTTTAGTTATTATACTTACTGCCAAAGCTGCTCTTGGTTATAAGTAAATATAAATTCAAATATTATTTTAGAAATGGTACTTTGACCAGAAAATAACATCATTAATTAATAGTTAGATTAAAATAAACCTTAATTAATTTTAAAATGACTCATAGATAACATAAAACTAAATAAGATGAGAATAGTTTGAATGAAGAAATCACTAATTAATTCAGTCTCTTAAAAAATGACTTTAAATAATTAATGGAAAGATAACAAGTATTGATTTCAACCAATAATTTGATCTATTAGAAACTAGGATTTGATAATAACAAATCAATTGTCAATATTTGACACTTTATACATATGAATTTAGCAATTTAATGTATGATAATTTTATTTGTATTTCATGATCAATGGATGTTCTTGCTCTTGCCAGCCTTTCTTTTAGCCAATCTTGTTTCAAGACTCTTATTCTTTTTGATGGATGGATCATTCTTAATAGCAAATCTTCTATTTTTTGCGAATCTTTAATTGCACTTTATTTTATAAGATTAATTACTCCATTCAATGATGTATATCTTTGATTTGGAAGCTTCTTAATACCATTTTTGTGATGCTTACGGGCATTATGATGACTTGTTGCATTCTTAGACTTGGCCATTAATGATTAATTATTTAAAATATTTATTTAGATTTTTCAATATTTTTAAATTCCTTAATTTTTTATACAAACCTATTATTCCATCTACAAAGCATCTTTTTATAATACTTCTTTATGTATAATACTTCTCTCCAATTCCTTAAATAAACTCCAAATTCTCTATTGTTAGAAGTCTTGAATTTCATTATTTATTTTTATCTATTTTTTGAATTCACTCTTCAATTTTACTTTTTATTCTTCTTTAAATTATTGTCTATTTTCTAAGAACTGTTTGCTTTATTCTAATTATTCACTCAAATATTATTATTCATACTAGTCTCTGATTTTTTTACTCTAAAATTAATGATAAATATTAACTTATCTTTCATCTTGCCATTCTAATTATTTTTTTGTGGATTCTAATTTCTTTATTTATTTTTAAATCATTTCTAATTCTTATTTTAATTATTTTTCAATATTTGGATCATTACTCTATATCTATTCAACTATTTTATTTAAATTTGGAGCATCTTATATTTAAATAATGTTTTTCTTCGAAATTTCTTTTTTTCTACTAACAGGAGATTTAGATTATGAAGATTTTTACTAAACATTTTTAATATTGGATATATTTTAATTATTCCTTTAACTATTTAATTATTCTTAAGGTTGAGTTCGAAAACTATTAACACTCACTTGATCTTAAAAACTCATATATTCATTCATAAAATAATTAGTTTCTTATGGTTTATTTGAGTTTTATAAAGGTGATTTAGATTTATAATACTAATTTTTAGATGTTGTTGAATAACTAGGACTTTTAGATGTTTTTTGACGATCAGGAATTCCTTTCTAATAAGAATTAAAATCTTTAAATCTACTCAAATTATTAGATTAATCTTTAGGGGTGTGTGGATTTTAATTAACTTATTCATTTTATATTTAAGTTTCTTCTTCAACCTTACCTTCTGAATCATCATCTAAAAAATTATTACTTAATTTTGATAACATATAAGACTTTAATTCATTCTAATTCTTATCTTGAGGAGTCTTTAATTATTACTCATATTTTTAATTGAGTTTGATTATCTTATAGAATGAAGTATAATAATTAATTGATAAAGTTAAAATCTTTTCAAGTTTATCTGATATTGAATTGACTTAAACTTTTAATTCTTCTTTATAATATTTTTGAGCTTCCTTAATATTTGAAATATTGATCTTCTTTTTTATCAGATTTTATTATAGATTAGACAAAATCATATTAATTGATTCATAGCTTTTACAAAATTAACTCTAACTAGCAACCCAATCACGCTATCTTAAAAATAAATAGTCAGTTGTAATTTATTTATCAACACCTGCCACAAAGCATAATAAACCACAAACACAATTATAAAGTTATTATGTTGGTTTCAGTATGTAAAATAGATCCTAAAACATCATTATTTTGATTTTACTTGAATATCTTTGATTTAGATTTTTTATAGAGTTTTGAGTATATTTGTATGAATTTGTTCGGTTTCCTCAATAAGCTTTAAATATGATGGAACTTTCACTTAATCTAATTTAATCTGTAATTTTGATTATTCAACAACTCCTTTCATAATAAAAATTATATAAACATATAATTAATTATTCAATATTCTTGCTTTAATCGAAAAAAAATCAATAAGATATTCATTATTAATTCAAGATAATCTAATTTTATAAAGTATATATAATTTTAAATGAAAAAAGTAATAATTTCAGTTAATATATATTATACTATAATAATTGTATCTTTATTAGAAATATCATTATAATTTTTTGTTATTTTTGAAGCATTTAAAAAATATAATTTGAAAAATTAGTTTAATTGTGAATTTTGATAATGATATCAGATATTAATAAAAAAAGGAACTATATTTTTAATTTTTTAAAGATCTAATAGATATTATATTAATGTATAAAGAGATTAGAAGTATTTTATATATGAAATTTTGGAATATAAATTGTATATATTAGAATTGTAATATTATTATTAAATTAAAAAATGAAAGGTGAAGCTACTTAACCTAAAACTTAAACATAAGGATCTGCAATAAAGAATGATAAACCCTTGAAATAAGTGAAATAATCAAGTCCACTGAAACATTAAATTGAACCAGAGGTAGTGTGGCCATTTTTTGCTCCCTAACCGGCACTGGTCAATTAAATGAGATTTTGGGATCGAAAAAATTGCAAGAATGTTTATCCAAGCAAAGAGGATTTAAGATTTTAAGCCATAATGTTGAGAGTGGGAAAAAAGAAAAAGTCAACTAAGGGTTATTTTTTCAAATTAAGTAAAGATGGAACACTAAGTTATTACAAAAAGGTTTCACTTTTAAATATAAATAAGGAATCTGATAAAGTAGCAAAAGGATATTTATAAATAACTATGGATTACGTAGCTCATCTTTTGGAACAAAAAAGTAAAAAAGATTCGTTACTAATTGTTTAAATTGAAAAGTATTAAGGACTCTCTATATCAATATTTGATGGAAAAACTCAATTGACCCTTGAATTCTTTAATCATCTTAAAGATTATTGCATAGTGTCTGGAATGGATAAATTATATACTTAAATGGAACTGTTAGGTAAAGGTTCATTTGCTTCAGTAAATAATAAATGTGATTAATATAATAGGTATATAAGGTAAAGAACTTATCTAATGAATAAATGTTTGCAGCTAAAACATATTTCAAGGAAACATTTGATCAATCTTAACATAAATCTAAATTTGTGGTACCATTTGTTCATTATTAAAGCTGAGCTTATGATAAAAAACGAAATCATGGTTTTACGTAAAGTTATTCATCCTGGTATAATTCGATTATACGATGTTATTTAAGAGAAAGAGAAATTAATATTAATTATGGAATTAGTATCAGATGGAGATTTGTATAGTTTGATAAAGGAAAAGAAAAGGATCCCTGAAAAGGAAGCTGCTGTAATGTTAAAAGGTGTATGTGAAGCATTACATGAGATGCATATGTATAATATTAGTATAATTATATAGTAATGAATTTGTACATAGAGATTTAAAATTAGAAAATATTATGATGAAATCAAGAGATTAATATATAATTAAATTAGTTGATTTTGGATTTGCAGAACCTATAAATCATAAAGAATTAGTATCTAAAGCAGGAACTCCTGGATATATTCCACCTGAGATTTTCAAATTATTCCCATATACAGATAAAGGAGATGTATTTTCAGTTGGAGTCATTTTTTATTCAGTATAAATATTTTGTATTATAATTATAGTTAATATCTGGGATTTCATGTTTTAAAGGAAAAAATTATTAAGCAGTTTTGGAAGATAATAGAAAATGTGAAATTAGTTTTATGAAATCAGTATGGAATGATATCAGTAGTGAATGTAAACATTTGTTAAAGAAAATGTTGGCTAGAAAGCCTGCTGATAGATATACTTGTGCAGATGTACTTAAAAATGAATGGATTTTAGTACATACTTCAAATGAATATGAATAATAAGCTGGTTAATATATTAATTATATAATTTTAGATTCTGAATTAGAAAGAAGAAATTCTTATTAAACAATGAAGAAATCTCATTATAGCCATTATAATTCAGTTGATGGATCATAACCTGATTTTAATAATGATTTTTCATATCATACTAATGATTTAAAATCTTTTTATCATCGTAATAGTTAGAAAACAGTAAAAACTCAAAGATCCATTTAATCAATAAAATCAAACAGTAATATTATTAATTTTACAATTAGATGATAAAATGAAATAATCAATGAGAAATAAATCAGCACATAGTAAATAATAATAATTTACAAATTTTAAGAGTTAAACACTTAAACATAAAAATAAAAGTGCAATTCATTCAAATACTGGAGAAGGAGGAGGAGATTAAAAAAGTGTGAGATGGGTTGATAAGAAAAATAAAAGTGATGAACCATCTTTTGGAGATAAAAAAGAGAGTAATAATTTACTTATTATTTAGATGATTCAGTTAAGACATCAATTTCACTTAAAATTTTTGAAGATTTCGAAGCCATTAATTAAACAAATGTAGCATTTTTAAAGATGTCTCCAATATTGTTTAATTTACAAAAGAAACCAGATTCTGATGCTAAAATCAATGAAGCTATCAAAAAGAAAAAATAATAAGCAACTCATTTAATGAGAGTAAAATGATACAAATAAATATAATCATTATTCTAATAATAGTTCAGATAAACTTATTCTTCATAAATTAATATTTATTATATATTACTATTTTATAAAAATGATATCTTACATCTCTTTATACTTTTAAGAATAAATTATATTATAAATAAATATTTATTGATTATTTCATCTATTAAGTGAGTAATTTGTTTATTATTTATAATTATATTTGAAATCTTAAGTAAATGAATATTAATTTTGATTTAATCTATTCATGCCTTTTTCAATTGATGACGCCATTGAAATTTAATCTAAAAAGATACTTAAACAATTAATTCATAATACCAGAATTATAATGGATTTTATTTACATAGTTCGAATGAATGTGATATTAAAAATTATGAATAATAATCATTATTATCGACTTACCTTTACAAGTAACAAGAATAGACACAGAGTTAATGAACACAATTTTGGACCTATTAAAAAAGTATAATCAAACAAAAAGCCTTATCTGTAAAATACCTCGCTCTTTCCTGGTATGAGCAATATACAATATTCAATATTTCTTTAGAATCTTAGATCTTTGATTCATAACTCATTTTTGACCATAATTCAATCAATTTAAGGCAATTTAATGAGCAATCTGATTCAAGATAAAGAGTAAAAACTGAAATAGTAAGACCCAAATACTAATTACAAATAGAAAGTCAGAAATTTGATTAACCTACTGCATATTTTCCAAAATTAAAGGAAAGAGCTTAGTCTTACTAAAAAAAAAAACTCGAAAAAGTAATTTCATAATTGAATAGATAGCCCTTGAGGTTGATGTAGGGGATTCCCCAATTTTCATTAGAGATTTATAGAAATCACTTGATTATACTAGGACTCAACCAAATAAATAAAGAAATTTGACTCCACTTCAAAAAAGAACAATCGAAGTATCTAAATTAAATAGCAAATCCGATCATTTAAATTAAGAAGAAATAATGCAATTTTCTTTTGGATTACAGTACAATAGAATGAGCATTGAAAAATAAAAGTCTAAATTTCCTAAAGACATTTTTCTTGGAGATGTGAGAAAAGTCAAAAGAATTTTTTAGTAACAATGATTTAATATTATTCATTATATTGCAATTATATTTTTAAATGATATTCCTTCTATCCCTTAGTAATTGAAGAGGTAAATTATTATTTGAATATCTAAATTATATAATTTATTTTTAAAACCATTTTAGTATAATTTACATTTATATTCTTTAAATAACATATCTATTATTCTTCTAAATTATTTTCAATCTAATTAAGTATATCCATCCTTTTTTTAATGATTAAACCACTAAACATATAAAAGTTTTTAATCAAAATAGATATAAAAAAAGAGATACTTATTTAGATTATCACATATAGGATGTACTTAAAAATCAATTTTGTTATAGATAATTAATTGTATTACATCTTTAATACAATATCTATAGGGGAATACTATTTTCCTCCTTAAATTTTAGTATATTTAAATGATTTAATTTAAAACTATTCAAAAAATCTTAAAGGTTAAATTTTTAAATATAATTAAACTTGATATCAATTTAAAAAGATAAATAGAAATATAAATTTAAGATTTTAAAATCTTAATATGTTTAAAAGGATTAATAATTTTTAATTATATTCAATGAATTGTAACTACACTTCCAGATTCCATAGGATTATTCACTTAAGAGAATATCTCTGGTATCTATGATTCTTCTTGTCTTATAAAATTTTCATCAACTGATTTATTTCCTTTTATTTAATTTTCTATATTATCATTTTATTCTTTCATAGAAAACAAAAAAAGTTTGCCATTCTAAACATTCCCCCATGAATTTATCATTTATGGATTATGTTAAGATTCACCAAACTAACTTGTTCCCAATTTTTGTAATTTTGGTTCTACTTTTTCACTAAAATATAAATATAAATTTACTTTTTAAAATTTGGTGTTTATTAAAAATATTTTGAACTTGCTTCCATTGGATTAACAAGGGAACTCATACTTTTCATTGATTGTTTATTATGTAATTTTTAATTTTATGAAATTTAAATGTTTACACTAACTAAATGAATTAAATTAAAAAATTATACATATTTTTTTTTATACATTATTCTGTTCTAATTAATTTTATTATTCCAAATTCTATTTAAAATATTTAAACTCTTAAATTATAACTGAAAAAAAACAAATAATATTTATAGGTGTAACATAATTTTGGATTTCAAAAATAAATCTTAAACATTTACATTCTTAATCCATTATATTTTTAGTTTTTAATAATATAATAATATATTGTGCAATATGAATTATAAATAATACTGTTAGTAACATACTATGATTATCGAAATAAATATTTACTTTGTAAAATTTCTAATTTCTTTTTATTATTTATTCTAATTAAATAGAATCAATGTAAACATCACATTTATAATTGATGTCAATAGATTAGTTAAGAGCAAAGATTATAATATCATTGAGTAATTATGTTGACATTCATAATCATCTTAATGAGACAATATTAATGTTACTATAATACATGATGTGAAACTATTGACAAATCTATTCATAAATTCTAGTGGAAAAATCTTGATTATCAATATTTCTATTTCCTATTTGTAAATATATAAATAATATACCTTTTATAATAATATTAACATATAGGCTTTAATGTATAAATGAAGAGTAGGATCACTTTCTTATATAGTTAAATAGTAATTCAATGAATAAACCAATAGAATAACAAATACAAATATATTTACAGTATAAATTAGGAAATATTCTAATTTTGGGAATTCTTTTTCTAAACAAACTAAAAATGTAGCAGCAATAAAATTAAAAGCAAATATCGTCAAAGTTAAATATTATGTAATTGTTATATAAAATGACTCACTTCCTTATGATCTTATTAATGTATTTATAATTAATAGAATAAGTGTATATTTAAAATGTTATCCAAAAATATTCACCAACTTTATTTTTTCAATTCGTTATTCTTCTTTTAAATTTATCATTTTAACTTAAATAATAATTTAAGTAATATTATAAAAATATAAAGTTTTACCTAAGAAATTTCAAAAATAAATGATTAATATGAAAATAAACAATCTAATAAAAGGTTTTTAGATATGTTTACAAATTAATATCAAAAAAATATAAATTATTAAATATATCATAAGTTATCCTCTGAATAAATGTTTACTTCACTTCTGCACAAAGGACATTTATTATTAACTTATAGCCAAGATCTTATACAAGAGGAATGAAATCTGTGAGTTGATGAACAAGGAAGTGTGACTATATATTCTTAATCTAAAAATTAAGTCATACATATTGAACATTCTTTGTCTAATTATTAATTATTAATAATAAATACCATCTACAATCTCTAATGAACTAAATAAGGCTTCTTATAAGGAATCATCTATTTTTATCTATTTATATTTCTTATTGAAGTGTTTATTTAACCAATTGTATAAACTGTAGATTAGGAGGATTGGTAAAAAAATGATTACTAATAATACCATAATGTAAATTTGTAAATATTAATACACTCCAATAAAAACAACCTAAATAAATAGGATTTATGTTTACTGAGAATATATATCCTTTGTACATTGTAATAAATTTATACATTTCCTCTTAATTCTTATTAGTTTATGAATAGAAATAAAAAATAATACACCATAACTAGATAAATTAGAAAGCAATAAAACAGCTTTTTCCATGTAGATTTAAAGATAAATTATTTTTCAATAAAGTTTTCTTTTTTATTTATGAATTATACTTTTATTTCATTTGATATCTAGTTAAATCTTCTTGAATCATTCCCCTAATCATTTATTCTTTATCGTATAAATATTTCTTGATTTTACATTTTTATTTATTCATCTATGTAGTTTTACATTTATTAATCTGAAAAGCTATTAGGAATATAAAATTCTATCAAATATCCCATCTCTTTAGCCACCTTTTAAGATTGCATAATATCATCAATCAGTCTTAGTAGTTTTATATAATAGATGAATGCAAAGAAACTATGTAAACCTATGATGTTAATGTAAATTACATGATAGATATATCCATATTTCAAGGTAAGCAACATCAAAAAGGTGGTTGTATTATTTGATGGGCTATTCATTTGAGAATAATGTCTGTCTCAATATAATCTATTTTTTTAATGCTTAATATACAATAATAGTTGCCGCTACAAATTTTAGTAGTGAGAAAACAGCTAGGAATTTGTGTTATTATTGAAATTACTCTTTTCCTTAGTCAAATAAAGAAGCTGGCTACTCAATTTTGTTCTAATTGAGAATTTGAAAGTTTTAGACTTTTTTATAAGAATAATTGATTACAGCTCTATTGAATATCATTATCTATTAGGTTATTGTTAACTTAATTTGCCATGTATCAATTAAAAATAAGTGTTATAATTAGAATTATTAATATATTACTGCGTCAATTATTTATGATTTACTTATAAAATAATTTATATACTTATATAATAATTTATATAATTAAACAATTCATAAATATATTTAGTATTATATGCAAACTAAAAGTTTCACTAAATATTCTTTATGTTATAATTCATTTTTCTATAAATCCTTCATTAATTAATCACAACGTTAATTCCCATTTAATTAATTCAACTAATCTAAATTTTATTCTCTTTGTTGATAAATTAACTTAATTTAATTAAAAAGGATTTCATTTTCAGTTTCTCCTTTATCATAATCAATTTAAATTTAATTATTATCTAATAAATGCAAAAATTCTTAAAATCTTGTATTTTCCAATAATTCTTAATCATAATTATCAGTAATATTAATCTATAAATCATTATTGTTACAATTAATATATTTTAATAATTGAGGAAAGGATCTTTCATGTTTTGATTCATATTATAAGAATTTCTAAAATTTTTGTATAAGATCATTAATTTATTTTAGTTTTGTTGAATTATTATTTAAAAATATCTTTTCTTTTAATCGAAATAACATAGTTCCTATCTTTAATACATTTGTTCCATATTCTTCAAATTCATCTTCAGAATTCACATCTTAATTCATTATTAATTTAATCTATATACCACATATTTTATCAATCGTATCCATCATTTATTAAAATTCTGTACTCAAATAGATTTCTTCAAGAACAACAATATGTTTATGATAATTTTAAGTTAATTTCTCTAAATAATTTACAATAACTTAATTAGTATCTATTTACAAAATATTAGGGAAATGTATTAAAACTTATCTATAGAAGTGTTCATACTTAGGTAAATTAGAAGTTAAATTTATTTTTTTGATTTTTAATAATTCAACCTAATTACTGATTTATGGAATTTAACTCATTTATGCCAATAGTTTTACAGTAGGTTTAAGTACAATCATTCCAAAACTATACTAAACATTATAAACTTAACTATTTCTAATTATCTTCATAAATCTAAGTAATTCTGGTATAATTATATTTTAATACAACAATAATTATAATAAAACTCTAAAGATTAGTGTTGTACATTTTTCTTATTTAGGTTTAATCATTTAACAATATGTAGAAAATAATTAATAAAAGTCTGAAACTATATTTATTATAGATTATGTATTTTTCTCTAAATAATTAAACTATAATAATTCTTAACATTTAGTATATAGTTCTTTAATTGTTTAATAATCCTTAGATGTATTAAAATATTATAGAAAATCTTATTAATTTGTTATTCTATGTTTTAAACACATTAAATGAATTAAAATTAAGGTTTGATCTGAACTTTCTTCTATCTAATTATAAACTTCTGTTCTTTCTAATTTCTCTTAATCATATTTTAATAATTCTCTTTCTAGTTCATTACAATATTTTATTTCTATACTTTAATTATCCACTCTTAAAAAGTGGATTATTTCAGGAAATATTGAATTTGTACAATGCAAATTTATTAAAGATTTTCTTATTCTCTCTTTGTAATTATAATTATCTCTATTTAAAATCATATTCATTAGTTTTTATCCTTTTAATATTGGATCATCTCCCATAATTTCAACAGTTTTTTTATCAAAATAATTCTATGAATATGATTTATATAGATATTAAAGATCTTCCATATCATCTAAGATATTTTAAGTTAATTCTTAAAGTTCTTCTTTCTTAGATAGTTCATATAACATTTGTCTTCTTGATTCATATTTTGCATTTTTTTTCAAAATCATTTTATTTATTATTAAATACATTATGTAAAATTAAAAGAAGGAAAAATATACCAAAATTAATGACCATTATCTTTTGCTTTCTTTTAATCAACTAATAAAATGTATTCATAGCTAAAGAAATCTAAATCTCATTCAAAAACTTAAATGTTATACAAATTATTAGAATAAACAGAATTGTATTCATTAACTAAAGATATCATGGATAAAGATTTAAAGGAATTTTGGGAATTATGTTAAACTGCTAAAAATGAATTTTATTATGATTTCCAAGAAAATCCAATTCATAAAGTGCAACTATTTTTATTCAAAATAGATGAAATATTAAACAATCCTTTCAATTTACTAATGAAATAAAAAATCAAAAGTCTATTAATTGAATTATTTGCATAAGGTACATAAGTACCTTAAATTTTTGGTTTTATTTAATTCAAAGAAGACAAAGTACTATTGTAATGTAGTCTCAATATTGAATAACAATTGAAAACTATGATTAAATAAGATTAAAAATGTTAACAGATAGATTATTATTATAAAGAACTATTAATGAATTCAGAAGAACTATTAATATAAATCACCTTAAATTATTTATATGAAGCAATGATGGAAGAAAATTAATTAGAATTGAAAAATAATTAACAATTAGATTCAATTTATAATATTACGAATTAGATTAATAAATAGAAATTTTCAAAGAATGGACAAAAAATAATAGAATTAATTTAAAATATAAAGAAAAGAGTAAATTAATTTTAAGATTAAATCACAATAATGAAACCAATTGGACATAATAATTAAAATTAATAAAATTAATAAAATGAAAAATAAACAGAAAATATGGTTAGTGCATAAGAGAATGGTAAATATTTAATATTCAAAATATTGTTATTATTATTGTTAAAATAAGATATTGCTTTACCAGATATAATTAAACTTTTTAAAATTAGTTATGTTTGTAAATAATAACATATGGAAGATAGAAAAGGTTTTATAAAAGTATATATCTCTTAATAATTGATATTTTAAATTAGTTTGATGGTCAAAATTAAATAAGATGCAGAATTATTAAAAATAAATTCATCATTATCTTACTATGATGAATCAAGCATAAGGGCAGTTAAATAAGCTATCAAATAACATTTCCCAGAATATGAATACATAAAATTCAATTAGGTTATCAAATCTTCATTAGAATTATTGTTAAAAAAATTTGATGAAAATTATGAATAGATATGTGCTACAATGGAAGATAGTAATGTTTAAATTGTATTAAAAAAGATTTATAAAATTTGTGGAAAGTATTTTTAGAAGATTGAAGCTGGTATAATAACATTTTAGAATGCTTAATAAAAGTTTTTGAAGAATAATATGTTAGAAATAGGATATTTACTTTATTAAATATAAATTAAAATTGATAAAAAACATAATAATTAATCTATTATAACATATTAAAAATAAAGTATAGAAGAATAAAATAATTATTAATAGATAAATTATTAGAGATCAATTTATGAAAAATAATTAATTTAATATGGAATAATAAATCCTATATTTTTTAAATTCATTCAAAATTTAATACAAAATTAAATTCCATTTCCATATATGTTTTAATTTCTAAAAATGGGATGTCATAGATTATTAATTCATTATAGAATAGAATCTACTAGAAAATTAACATTAAAAAAAAAATTCATAGAATTTGTAAAACAAAATTATGATCTTACTATGACTGATGATAGATATATAAATGTAGAATTGTTAAAGACAATAGATACTGAAAAATATGTGAGAAAAGAAGGTCTTGCTTGGCCATTATTATTATATGAATAATGTAAACTTATTTATGAAAACAGAGAAAGATTCAAAAAGAAATTATAATAATTAGGAAGTAATAAGGATTTCCAAGAAATTATATAATAATATGTTGGTTAATTTGAATCTAATAGTATAAAATTTAAATTACAGCAATATTTATTAGAATTGAATAATTATATTAAATAATTAAAGAACTGATAATTTATTATAAATTAGTTTAATGGAAATGACAATATTTATAGATGTCATAGTTTTATTTAATATAATATAAACTAATATAATATAATAATAATTGAATCAATCTTTTTTATTATTATCTTCTTCTTCTGCTTTTTTATACATTTTATCCATTGCCATCAAAACTTATTCATGATCTAAATAGGCATGTACATCAAGCACAATAGCTTATTTGTCTCTAACTTTGATATCATCCCAATTTAAACAAGCCTTAGCTTCATTAAGTGCATCTTATTTATCACCTTGTTAACTACTTTGATCTTTTTCGATCTAGAATTTAATTAATTTTTACATTCACTATAAGAAGAAGAGGTTTTGTTTAAAATACTTCTAGAGTCATTAGACGATGTAACAATTATCTTGATTAACCTATACTATCATAATGTTTAGATCTTTAAGCTTTTGTTCCTTTAATGACTCTAACAACAAAGATTGTAACTTTAAATGGAATGAACTAATAAAACACATGCCAAAGAGTCATGAACTAGATTAAATTTTAATTTACTTCTGGTGAAGCTGCCAGATCCCATAATGCATATGTGGTTTATTCATATTTCATACATTCCATGTTATAACCTTCTGTTGGTTTATAAGGAGGATCTTTGTATTCTTAATGGATAAAATTTTTGATTACTATTTTGTAGCAAGCCTTCATATAAGAATTTGGTTTTTCCAACATCTTATGTTCCAAGAAGTAATACATGAACATATTTATTTCCATCTAAAAGTGCCCCCATTTTAATTAAAATACATTAAATTATTTGTAAATAATGAATATTTATATCAAAAGTAATTCAACATACAAACCTAAGATTCTAAATACTCATCCAATATAAATTAAATAACATTATAATAAATTTCTTATTCTTAACATTAGTCATTTAAATTGACTAAAATAGAATAACATTCAATTCTTTTAAATGGTATTTTCTTACTAGAGAATCTAAAATATTTTTTTAATTATTAAAAACTTGCTCATTTTAGATTCATAATTGCTACTATTGGTACTATGAGAAGCCATTCTTTACTGATTTAGAGATCTTGAAATTTCAGATCGAGTTGAAAATGATTACTGTGATTTCATTATTTTCTAATTTATTTTGATTATCAAAGTTTGGTTTGATTAATAAGGATTTAATATATATATATATGTAGTTTAGTGTGATATATATATATAAATAGATCAAAACAGTTAATTGAATTCAATTCCACATCAATCTTAACGATTACTAATTATTTAACTTTTATCAATTAAATTACTTAGATATTCTATTTAATTTATTCTTAATTAAAATACTAGATTAATAATTTGATTATAATTAAGTACTTTTATTTGGAGAATTTAGTTATTGGTATAAATGACTAACTTCTCAAAATTATATCTATTTATATTATCATCTAATATATCTGTTCGTATGAGTTACTTTATTGTTATTTTTCCTATTCAAGTTAAATACATTAATTATATTTTTCATGGATTTTGAAAAAATAGCTTAAGAAGTATTTGAATACTAGAATTAATTGCGAATGGATCCTACTATTGCCATACCACCATTAGAAGCAAGATTAAAATATTTTAAAGGGAATATCTTGCATATGCCTGGTTAGAAACCACTTTAATACAAGGAAGGAGCTCCTTGTGTTTAAGAATGTATTGACTTTTTAAAAACTTAACCTCCTTTGCCTCCATTTCAATATGAGAAAGGATTAGAATTATCAGCTAGAGATCATGGAATTGATTTAGGTAATTGTGTATGTCAAATATTATCTTAGGTAAGAATGGGATAACTGGTCATACAGGCTCTGATGGATCCAATACTTCAAAAAGAATTAGTCGATATGGATTATGGAAACCTGGACCTGCTGGATAGAATATTAGTTATGGTAAATTAACAGGATAGGAAGGTAATTAATTGTGAAATTAATAAAGTATTATTGTAACTTATAGTTGATGATGGAAAACCAGATAGAGGACATAGACATAATGTTTTTGATAAGGATTACAAATTAGTAGGAGTTTATGTTGGTGAACACATTAAATTCAAATACATTGCTGTTATGGATTATTCAAAGAAGTTTATTATGAAGGGTCAGAAAAAGCAAAATAAATAGAAACTGGAGTAATAAGAAAATGAATTAATTGATGAAGTAGAAAAAGTTAATTTGGATGATCAAGAATAGGAAGATACAGATTAAAACGTATAAATTAAGGAAGGAAATGTTTAAGGTGATGATTGTATTGAAGTTGGTACTGTAGAATCGAATGATTTTTAATAAGAATAAGAATAATAGTAGAAAGAAGAAGACTAATTAGAATAATAAGATGAATAATAATAAGAATAATAATTAGAATAAGATGAATCAAATAATGATAAATAAACTCAAAATAAAGTGGTTAAACCTGCTGGATGTATAAAAATTATTAAGAAAATTAAATAAATTACTCAAAATGGAGTCAAAATGAAATAGATTACATATGTTTTTAAAATGAAAGATGGAACTGAATAAACATAAATTATATTAGAATGATTTTGTTTATTAAATTAATTGTGAGAATTTTTAAATTTATTTAAATCTTCTTTATATATTAATATTAAAAATAAATTAAAAATGAGAGAAAAGTGGAGAAAGAAGAGAATGCGAAGACTCAAGAGAAAGAGACGTAAGGCACGCAAGTGATTTAAATTATTTGCACATAATCTAGATATATATGTTTCATATCTCTTTTTCACATTATTGTACAACATCCATCATCCCCTTATTATTTGTCTCTCATAGGGTTTACTTTGTAATCCTTTATTGTATAATTTGAATTGAATTCATTAATTTTTTAATGAACTGGATGACTCTCAGTTGTTAATTCAAAATGTTTATTTCTTATTTCTGATATTTGATCATGAAGTGGCACTTATTTTGATTTATTGATTAGAGCAATGAAATTATGTTGTATATAACAAATCACTACTATTACATCTTTTATTGCATATTTTCCACTCAATAATTATAATTCAGGGATTTATGATTTATTCACATACTCTTCAATTTAATCTTTTAAAAACTTGTTTTAGTATTTAAAGGCATGTGATTATATTTATTATGATTCTTTTNCAAATACATTGCTGTTATGGATTATTCAAAGAAGTTTATTATGAAGGGTCAGAAAAAGCAAAATAAATAGAAACTGGAGTAATAAGAAAATGAATTAATTGATGAAGTAGAAAAAGTTAATTTGGATGATCAAGAATAGGAAGATACAGATTAAAACGTATAAATTAAGGAAGGAAATGTTTAAGGTGATGATTGTATTGAAGTTGGTACTGTAGAATCGAATGATTTTTAATAAGAATAAGAATAATAGTAGAAAGAAGAAGACTAATTAGAATAATAAGATGAATAATAATAAGAATAATAATTAGAATAAGATGAATCAAATAATGATAAATAAACTCAAAATAAAGTGGTTAAACCTGCTGGATGTATAAAAATTATTAAGAAAATTAAATAAATTACTCAAAATGGAGTCAAAATGAAATAGATTACATATGTTTTTAAAATGAAAGATGGAACTGAATAAACATAAATTATATTAGAATGATTTTGTTTATTAAATTAATTGTGAGAATTTTTAAATTTATTTAAATCTTCTTTATATATTAATATTAAAAATAAATTAAAAATGAGAGAAAAGTGGAGAAAGAAGAGAATGCGAAGACTCAAGAGAAAGAGACGTAAGGCACGCAAGTGATTTAAATTATTTGCACATAATCTAGATATATATGTTTCATATCTCTTTTTCACATTATTGTACAACATCCATCATCCCCTTATTATTTGTCTCTCATAGGGTTTACTTTGTAATCCTTTATTGTATAATTTGAATTGAATTCATTAATTTTTTAATGAACTGGATGACTCTCAGTTGTTAATTCAAAATGTTTATTTCTTATTTCTGATATTTGATCATGAAGTGGCACTTATTTTGATTTATTGATTAGAGCAATGAAATTATGTTGTATATAACAAATCACTACTATTACATCTTTTATTGCATATTTTCCACTCAATAATTATAATTCAGGGATTTATGATTTATTCACATACTCTTCAATTTAATCTTTTAAAAACTTGTTTTAGTATTTAAAGGCATGTGATTATATTTATTATGATTCTTTTGTAAAATCAATTTGATCAGCACACTTTTGAGCACATAATGCAATTATCAATTATATATTATTATCACATTTATTTGTTAATTAATTTTCTTTTATTACTTTTAACACAGATTTCATTCTATTATCATACTTAATCATTTTAATCATTGTGAATGAATTATCAATTATATCATCTAATATAACAAAACTATTTCCCAAAGATAACATTTTATATATATCTTCATTTTTATTAATTTTATCATTCTACACTTCTCCATAAGAATACAAATGATTAATCATTAAATTGTAGAATACTAAAGAGTAATTATATTTATTCTAATCATTTTATTGTTTTTCTTAATTCCATTATTAAACTTACTTAATTAGATTTTCTTTGTTTATTGAATCCCAAATCTTCTATTCCTCAATTGAACACTCCTAAAATGTTTTATTATTCAGTTATTATTCATAAAATTATGTTTGTTATTTTTATTATATTTCTGACATTTACTTATATAAAATGTTCAATTTCTTTAATATATCTTCAGTAGAATCAACTTTAACATGACATATTGGATTCATTATACAATTTATCTTTTCATCACATAATTCTTCTTTTTATTTACACAATTATTCATATTCCTATTTCTATTTATCTAAATTTTATCCATGTGCAATAACTTTCTGAATCACTCCTCCTCTATTTTCAAATTCCTAATTCAATTTTATTAAATCCTAACAATTATGAACAACTATAGGATTTATAGTTGCTTTATACATTTTCTTATGAATCACAATATCACTCAATTATTAAATCAAATCATAAATATCACTATTCTCTTTAATAATTTAAGCCTTACCTATAAATGATTAAATACTAAATTTATCAATCTACAATATCTAATCATACAATTTCAATGCTTCTTCTTTTCTATCCAATTATCTCAAACATAAGGCTTTTAATCTAAGAGAATAAACATTCTAATCATCTTTAATCAAATTGCATATCTAAATTGATTCTTCATACTTTTTTTAATCATACAAAATACTAGCTTTGACTATAAATAAGGGAGGCAATTAATCATCAATTATTAAACCTTATTCAATAGTTTTTAATGCTTCTTCATACTTTTATTAAGCTCTAAGAACTTTTGCTTTAGATGCATAAGCCATTACATATCTATTGTTAATAGATTATTCAAACAATTAAATTGCTTAATCAAATTTATTTAATCTAAACAAGACTTTTCCTCTATACCAAGTAATAACATAATTATCTGGATCTGATTTTTATACACCATCTAATAATTTAAGGATTTCATCCTATCTTTATTCTAAAATAGCCTTATTAATCTTAGCATAGAGACAATTAGGATTGACTTTCAATGATTCATTAAACCATGTATTTGCTTATACACTATTTCCTTTCATAATGTATGCTTAACCCAATAATACATAATATTAACATCCATGAGTACTCTTTTCTAATTCTTTAATGGCTTTGTCTGGTTAATTTTATTGAATGAATATCCAAGCTCTATTTGCATGACATTATTATTTGAATTCATCAATGTGATTTAAAACTTATAGAGATAATTCAAGACATTCTTTATATTTCATCTGATCTTTTCTAATCAAACTTAAAAAATATTAACAAGTCCAGTATTAATGATTCTATTCAATACAATAATTAAATAATTGTTCTGATTATTTTAAGTCATTCAAATAATATTTACAAATAGCATCGAAATATTCCAATTGAACACAATCTCTTACTTATTTAATTTATTAAATTAACTCAACTGCTCTTTAAATTTCCTTTCCTTTAGGTTTACATGAGTATTCTCCCCAAGCATAAGCGATGGAATTCTCAGAATGAATGATCAAGTATTTAACTAATGCCTATTTAGCACACATATTATAAGGATCATTTTTGATAAGTTGTTCTAATAATAATATGCAATCATATTTGACATCTTATGTACCTTTCTCAACTTTAGCATAAAAACAATTATTATTTAATTTTAATGCTTCTTTTAACCATGTATCTGCTTAAACCTTATTTCCTTTTTAATAATATAGTCTACTAATTAATGTATAATTTTGAGCATTAGGTTAAACATACTCTAATTCTTTTAAAGCTTAATCCAATTCATTTAATTCAATATACATAACTACTCTCCAAAAATGACAATCATCTTTTAATTATCCTGTAACTTCTTAACTTAATTTTTTGAATTCTAAGACAGCTTCTTTGTATTTGAATTAATCTTTATGAATTAAAGCTATATAAAATTTAGAATCAAAGATTCTATAATTATTTTGAATACATTATTCAAAAGTAGTTAATGCTTCAATATTCTTATAATTAAAGTAATGGATTAATGCTTGCAGATATTAAGTTGAATTGCATTTAGGTAATTTTTCAACTTATTCTTATAATTTATTCATAAATTCTCCTCTTGGTCTGCATGCATATTCTCCCATTGATTTAATTACTTAATCACTTCCTTTAATGATTAATGCATTGATATGCTCTCTTATCAATCTAGAATTAGTTGGATCTTTGTCTAAAAATTGTTTGATTACTTTAATTTATTAATCAATATTATCATTTTTAGCTTAATTATTTAATGCATAAAAGCAACCTTAATTAATTTTCAATGCTTCTTTCATCCATTATATTCCTTATTATTATTAATTCAATTTGAAATAGCATTCTGATAATAAAGCATAGCAATAACTATTTTCACCTGCATGTTCTAAAGTTTTAATAGCTTTTTGGTATTGATTTAAGTTAATCTAACATTCAGCTATGGCTTGAAGTTTATGTTAATGATCATCTTTGTTATCAAATTCACCTAAAGAATTCAATATTTTGAGTGCCTCTTCATATTCTTAAAGTTCTAATTGTCGAAGTCCAAAATAGAACTTTTGTTCATCTGAACCTCCTAATTTGATATCTTTATCTAAAAAATAATCTAGAATAGTTTATATTAAGTCTTTGTCTTAACCTTAGAGTTCATTTGAAAGTGTTTGTACTTTTTGAAGTGTATCTGAAGGGGATTTAGAAATGCATGATCCCATTGGTATTGTACTTTTCATTTAGTATAATTTGAGTAGAGTCTTGCACTCAATTAGTTTGTTTGGTTAGGAGTTCAAGAGTTGAAGGACTTGTTCATAATTACCATTTTTATAAGATTCTACAGGTGAATCCATTAAAATTTTAATAATGAGGTAATCGACAAATGGGGTACAGTATTTAAATAATAAAATAGTATTATTTATTAGGAGGGGGTCTAAATGGCTAATAGTGAGTAATCCCAAAAAGTGCAAAATTACATCTTAGGTATTAGAATAATGATTTTAGAGATCGGACTATTGGAAGAGGAACATTTGGAAAAGTGAAATTAGGTTATCATACAATTTGCAAAGAATATGTAGATGATATATTCCTTTATAAAAGGTTGCTGTTAAGATACTTTAAAAGAAAAAGATAGAAAATAATGCAGATGCTACAAGAGTTTAAAGGGAAATTTCAATTTTAAGAAAGGTGAATCATGAAAATATAATAAAATTGTATGAGGTATAAGTAATCTTAATAATAGATTTTAGAATCAGATGAAAACCTTTATTTGGTTATGGAATATGCAAAGGGAGGAGAACTCTTTGATTATATTGTAAAAAAGCATCAGTTCAATATATTATGTATTTTATTAGATTACCAGAACCAATGGCAGCACGTTTATTTATTTAATTAATAAATGCTGTAGAGTATTTACATTAATAAAAAATTGCTCATCGAGACTTAAAGCCTGAGAATCTTTTATTTGATGAATCAAGAAATTTGAAAGTTGCTGATTTTGGACTCAGTAACTTATATAAGAATAATGAATATCTTAAAACTGCTTGTGGATCTCCATGTTATGCACCACCTGAAATGTTACGTATAAAAATAATTGTAATTTTAATAGATGGAAAACCTTATTTAGGTGAAAAGAGTGATATTTGGAGTTGTGGGATTATTCTATATGTTATGTTGTGTGGCTTTTTACCTTTTGAACATGAAAATACAAGGAAACTCTATGAAATGATTAAGTATGAAGATTATGAGGAACCTAAAAATATTTCATATATTGCTCAAGATCTATTAAAGAAACTGTTGATTAAAGATCCATAAATTAGGATAGGATTTGATGGAATTAAATAACATTAGTTTTTTTAATCTGTTACAATCTAATTAGATCAAGTAATTACTAATAATGACACATAAGCTTTAAAAATGTTATTAGAATTAGGATATGATATCAATACCATTTATGATCAAGTCAAAGAAAATAAACATAATTCTCTCACTACTCTATTTTGGTTATTAAAGAAAAAAGCATGTAATCAATATATTAATCATCTATGTCAAAGAAAATAAAAACCACAAAATTAAATGCAATCTAAACTTAAAAATTAATTACAATAGACACTCTAAACTAAAAAAATTAATTAAATGTAGATTTAAACTGCTCGCTCTAATAGTAGAGCTAAATTTACTACATCAATATAATAAAGATAGCCATTATCCAATAATAGAGTACAATTAAAAGATTTAGAATAATTTACTAATGATCTTACAGGAATTTCAATTAATTTAAATAAAATTAATAATCGTACTATAAGAATCCCTAATTCTCTTAATGATTAAGTCAGATAAAATACATACTCTGTTTAAGATAGAAAAATTGAAAATAAAACACCAGATCTCTAAGATTTTATCATTAAACAATCTAAATTTAAAAATAATCTTATCACCTTAAGAAAAAAGAGTACAACTGAATAAATTGAAAGAATTAATTTTCTTAATTTACATGATAATGATAAAATTAAAACACATAATAAAAGAGGTAGAAATAGAACTATTTCTGAAAAATAAAAACATACCTTAATAGAAAGATATTCAAAAAATTATACACCATTATTAAGTAGATAAAGTAGTCCATTATCAAAGTTATTTGTTCAACCTAAAAATTAATTTTAAGGAATAAGAAATTAAAATAACTAGAATAATTAAAACAAGATACTATTAGAATATTGATTGTTACTCTTAGTTTTTTATGATATATTAGATTATCTAATTAAATATATATTATATCATAAAAATACTTATATAATTCTTTAATTTATTTCTATAAAGTTAAGAAAAATGCAAGAAATTGGAAGCACTCTTTATTTAACATTACTAATAATAATATCAGTTTTATCTTTGATTGGATGTTCAGTCTTGTTAATTGATTATTTTAAATAGAGATTTAATGCCAATCTAGCAGCAAAATTATTAGCTATTTTGTCTATTAGTGATGCAATATATGTCATTGCTGTAATCGTTAATCCTATCGCATGTACTCAATGAATTATAAATTAGAGAATGATGGGGCTTTTTGTTCAATTTAAGCTCTATTTAAGTAATCATCAAGTGTTTCCACATTTATTGTTAATTTTTTCTTTTGCTTAACTACTTATCTCACAATAGTGAAAAACATAGATATAACAGAAGATAAATATTACAAATACAAAAGGAATGCTAAAATATTTTCAATTCTATTTCCTTTTTTGATTGCTCTTGTTCCTATTACTTATAATGGATATGGAATATAATATAATGTATGTAGTTTTAAAACTTAAAATGCTTATTGGGTAGGGGAATTCTTTTTATTTTATGTTCCCTTTGGATTTCTATTTGGAGCAAGTCTATTTTTCCTTTTGAAAATACAAAACTTTCTCAAAGAAATCTAATCAAATAAATTAGGTCTTGATGATTTTAGAATCAATAGAAGAACTTTAATTACATAAAATAGTCAGATTACTGTAGGAGAATAATACACAAGATTCCTTTTATATTATACCCTTGTTCATCTATTCTGTTGGCTTCCAATTATCATAAGTTCACTTTTTGATATTATATGGAAAAGAAACTTCTTATGGTTCGGAAGAATAAGTTATCTATGTGCATGTTCATAAGGATTTCTAGATTTTATTCTATTCATGATTAGCAAGAGAGTTTCTTCTCGATCCTATGTTTACGAAAGGAATAATAGTATTTTAACTGCAGATCCAATAGACATATATAGAGGATCTGTTGTATACAATTCAACATTATGATTTTATGTTTTGCTGTAAATTGAATTTCTATTTGAACCTAAATAGTCTAATTATCATTTTTAATTACAATATCAATCTAAAAATGATCATATAAAGATCAATAAATATATTAATAGTTTTTAAAAGTTCTATTTCTGTAAAGTCTTTATCTCTTCTCTAATTGATATCTCTTTAAATTAATAAATGAATTTTATAAAGTCTCTATTTCACTAATCGAGTCCATAGTAAAAAAAGATTGTGCAAAAGAAAGCTGTTGGATCTTCTATACTTGATTCTCAGTTCACTCAAGTTAGACTATAAGATATTAAAATATTATCTAAAGATTTAAAAAAATTAGAAGAAATTCTAAAGCATTAGCCAGAAACAATAAATGAATAATTTAAGAGATGTTATAGTTTCCATGTCATTTTAAGCAGTGATTATACATAAGCAATAGATATGATACTCAAATATTTTGAAACCCATCAACATGACTAATGTAAACAAACATTACAGACTACATAAACAAAAACTATGGTTACTTAACATATTAATTAAACAACTCAAAATATATATGATTAGAAAATCAATTTGATATCATAGCAAAATTCTATGTTTGTCAATGTTGCTGATGTAAATCATTAAATTATTCATATTTTTTAGTAAATTTAGTTATTTGAACTGATAAATTAAAATGAATAAGGATTTATGAATATATACTTTAATTATATTCAAAGAATAGCATAAAATAATGATATTTATAGTTCTTGTAGATTTTAACAATATCCTTATTAAGATGATACACATAACCGTAAACTTTAATTTCTTTGGTTATTCAAAATTATCAATCTACTTAATTTTAAATTAAGCTTCATCCCATATTTCCAATTTAATTTTAAAAATAAGACATAAAATACTTTAATCATTCGAGATATAGCATACTTAATTTATAAAGATTGTTTAGTATAATATGCTTTCTTAAGAAATGAGATTACTGATATGCTTGATTGTTATTCATAATATTAAATTAAAGAATGTATAAAAAATATAATCAAATTTAGCTCTTTAATTTTATGAATTAATCTTAATAATGAAAGATATCACAAATAAGTTGACTATATTTTATGAAATGAGATCTTCATTTGCTCTCAATTCTGAATCAGTTAGGGATGTAAAATGGTTTATTATTGAAAAAAAATAGATGAATGAAATAGATAATTATATATCTAAAATTAAGTTACTTAATACATCCTAATTTAAAAAGAGTCTTATGGTTCCAACTTAAAAACATGTAATTGAAAACTTTTAAAAGGCTTTATAAGATCCAAATCTCTTAGATAATTCATTTAATAAAGTAATATTATTATAAAATTCTAGGAACCAACTACAGCAAAACAAATTAAAATTAGCAATGAATTATTATATTCACCTTTAAAATTGAAATAATTAAAACGTGGAGAACATTCTAGATAATAATCAAGAAATTTTGTGAATCTTTGACTAATTACAACTTAAAATAATTTTTTTCAATTAAATAATAACTACTCAAACTATTATTTTAAATATTTAATACAGGATTTCATATAAACAATCCACTAACTTCAATTCTATTAGAAATTTATTATATAAATCTTTTAATTTTTCTAAATTTTGCCTAATTTACTTACTAATAGCTGTAATTTTATTAACTAAAATTGAAATTAAGCTAAATCCTTGTTCTTTGAATATTTGAGTAAAATAATCTTCATATATTTTGGTTAAAAGAAGATTTAAAAAATTCTTAGATAGGTTATAATGATTATCATTAAAAGATAAAGATATCATAGAAAGCTTTGAAGCGATATTTAATTTGAGTTTAAATTCAATATTTATCTCTTAATTAAATATGTTTTAATTTATCTAATGAGATACTTCTTCAAATTTATATTAATGAAAATTAAATTGATAATATAATTAAGTCAAATTTGATTTAATTAACTCTAATCATATTCTGTTTATTATCAAGTAGATATTATTATTATAACTTTAATTTTGTAACTCAATTCAATTGATTATTGATAATTCATTATGTATTATGGTTTCTATATCTTTTTCTTTATTTTGTTATTATAAAATTTGTTCATTTTGTAATAAAAATATAATTAAATAACTGATTATAATTAAAATTTAGTTAATATATCGTATCGTTCTTAATAAATCAACTTGTTAAATCTACTCTTAGATAATTTCTAAGTAATTGCTTTTTAAATAATTTATAATATCGATATTAATAATATAAAAATTCAGTTTCAATGAATAAGTATGAAGTTAAAGGAGTAGTAGGAGAAGGAGCTTATGGAATAGTGTTAAAATGTGAAAATAAAGAAAATAATCAGATTGGTAAACAGTTATATATATTATTAGTGGCTATTAAGAAGTTCAAAGAGACCGAGGATAATGAGATTGTTAAAAAAAGTATTTAGAGAGAAGTTAAGATGTTAAGACTATTGAAACACCCAAATATTATTGATTTATTTGAAGCATTCAAGAGGTATTTGTATCAATGATGTAAAAGAAAAGGGAGAATCTATTTAGTTTTTGAGTATGTAGAGAAGAATTTACTTGAAGTGTTACAAGCCTCACCTAATGGTTTAGATGTATTACATTTAATATTGTAAGTAAGGATTCCTTAAGAAAATTGCATTTTAATTATTAAAAGCTATAGAATTTATTCATTATCATGATATTGTTCATAGAGATATCAAACCTGAAAATATTCTAATTGATAATGAAAACAATTTAAAACTTATTGATTTTGGATTTGCCAGAGTAAACTTTTTAATTAATTTTTGTAGAGTCTCAATTTACCAGACACTTTAACAGATTATGTTGCAACAAGATGGTATAGATCTCCTGAACTTCTATTGAATTATTAAACATATGGAAAAGGAGTAGATTTATGGGCTATAGGTTGTTTACTTTGTGAACTTACAGATGGAGAACCTATGTTTCCAGGAGAGAATGAAACTGATTAATTATATTTGATCTAAAAGACTCTTGGTCCTTTAACACAGGAACAAATGGAAGTATTTCAAAAGAATCCAAGATTTCTAGGTATGAAATTTCCTGAAATTGGTAAACCTGAGACCATAGAAAGAAGGTATTAATAAAATAATAAATAATTATTATTGTAGATATCTTGGTAAATTACCTTAGAAGGCTATTGGATTAGTAAAAGGATTATTAAGAATGGATCCTAAAGAACGTTTTACTTGTCTGGATGCATTAAAACATCCTTATTTTGCTGATTATCCAGAAGCATAAGAATATATTAAATAAATAGAGAGTAGATAGAATTAAGTTTAAAGTGATGTAAATTAAAAAAGAGATTCACTTGTGAGTTAATAGAAATAACAAAATTAAATTGGACATACTAATCAAATTAGAACTAAAGTAATTGATCTCATAATTTTAGAATATTAAACCAGTTCCTAATTTTTTAAGTAGCCATGTTTTAATGTAGAGTACTGCTTATAATTATAAAATATCTGATTAACATACTGCTGAAAGAGAATTACCAAATATGAAGAAGACTACTTCAGTAGATAAATTACCATAAACATAATATAATGGATTTAGTATAGGAAATGGTTTCTCATTTGCCCCATCTAAAAATTAATAATTAAAAGCAAGTCAACCAATAAAATAATCTTAACCCTAAATAAAAATATAAAATTTAAATATTATTTATAATGCCAATACTTATAATTACTAATTATAATAGCAGTAATAATAATAATAGCCTCAATAACAATAACGAAAAATAATAAAGAAAAAAAGTTGATTAATTTTAATGTTTCTATTCAAACTAACTAATTAAATCTAAAATTCATTATAAGTTATAAATATCATTCTAAACCAAATATTCCTTCTAATGCTTCATGAATTGTTGCCTTCATAAATACTTCCATTATTTCTAATTCCTCATATCTATAATATTTTAATAATCAAATATTTACTTTGGTAATTCTAATCTATTAAAACATGTATGAGCCTTTGGATATGGATTTTCTTTATCAAAATTACTGGCTTAAATACAAAAATATGATATTTCTCCTCTATTACTTTCAAGTTTACTATTATTAATGATTATAATTACCTAAAACCTTCAACTGGAACTCTAGTTGAACCAGTACAAAATCTCAAAAATTAAGATAATTCAGTTTAATCCCAAGTGCTTAAGATTTACCAAAACCATTTTATAAATTAATCCTCTGCAGAACAATCTTTATATATTGTATATTTAGACCAATCTTAAAGATCAATAAATGGAAGTCCAAATAAAATCATTTCTAATTCCTATGGTTTGAAAATTCTTAATAATGTTTTTGGAATCACTTAATAAAATCCTGTCAGAAAATCTGATAAATAAGGTTCTAAAAACTATTAGGTGTAGTAGAATATACTAGGATGTATTATAATTAAAAATACTTTAAATTAATATATTCTTAAGCATTAGAATTAGTAACTTTAATTTCACATCCATTTTCTTTTAAATTAATTATCTTTCCAAAATATTCTAACTAAAAATATAGGTCTAATTAATCAGAATTATTATTTAATAAATATTACCAAGAATAAAATAACTAAATAATCTATCATATAAATACATCTTCATCAAAATATTTGATATCTTCTAAGATTACTTTTTATCTTAAGATATGTTTTATAATGGTACGATCTAAAAATGAACTAAGTGGAATTCTTTCAAAAAGACATTTGCCTACAATTATTCCTAAAAAGGAAAAGAGTTATCGTTTGTCAATAGTATTTGATTAAACATTAGGATTGAATTTATATGTAAGTTCTTTTGTATCAGTTTTTTATAGATATCCTTATTCAACTAATTATTATAGAATAGATGTTGACCATTCTCTAAGCAAACCTCCAGCATCTTAAACTTTTTGATCTTCTTGAAATTTTATTTTCACTTCCCCATGTAAAAGACGAGATTTCAATTTCATTATACTCTCTACAGAAGATTCTAGTAAATGATTTTAAGAAACTGATATAACAGTGCATCCATTCTAATGTATTTGTTGTCAATATTACTTGCCAAGGAATTCTAAGTTTTTCTAGTTTAGCTCTAAACCAAACTTGCTTTTAACCAAAAGGTTCTTGTTAAATATTCTTTTTTATTTCACATAGTTACCTATTCATTTATTTAGAGACTAGGGTTATATTCTTTTAGTATCCACTAGAATCCTTATTCATTTTAAACCTTTTCCCAATATTTAATTCCTCTATAATCTTCTATTTTATTTATATTTTATTATGAAGACATAAGACAATTATCTAAGTGATCATTAAACTTCAAATTAAATTTTTATATTTTACAGCATGATTTGTTGTATAGGATGGGAAAAGCTGTTAACACTTCGGACACTCAACTTCCCTTCCAAGAGTTGTTTGACTCGGAGATTTAATCGAACAGCAACACCCCATTAGATTAAATTATAAACTATAAAAATTATATCATAAATTTTCAGCTTAATATTATAATTCTTATCTAAAATTCTCAATATTTAAAATTCTATCCCTCTACTTAGATCTATTACAGTTCTTATCTTATTTTCTAATAAACCCTTTCATTTAATGGCTATTATATAGAGTCTAACAATAATCATGATACAATTCATATTCTAATTAATTTTTCATCTCTAAACTAATAAATAATAAAATTAAATGCTCAAAATATTTTAGTGATAGATGTAATTACTTCATAAAAAATTTATCTCTATTAAAGCATTCTCTTATTTATATAAAAATATTATAACAGCCTTTAGAAGGTTCTTCTTATTTGCCTGATTCAAAAGATCATTTCCTCTAACTCTCAATATATTGAAATTTTTGAAGTAAGTAAGATAATATTAGTATCTTGAAATTTATTCTATTTTATATGTTTTTCATTCGTTTTCAAGTGATAACGAGATAGACCAAATCAGTAAATCAAAGTGCGTCTAAATTATAATAAAAATTAAATATACTACAATAGTAATTATAATTTTAAAAAATGTAAAGATTTATTGAATTAATATGATTTCAATATTTTTATCAATTCTTTAAAAAGGCATACCATTCAATTCCAAAAATCTAGAGTTTATGTTACACATTTATAGTTATCCCAGGCCATTCCTATTTTAATGGAATTGTAAACATTATCTATATTATCTATCACTATGAAATTAGAAAAATAAAATAAAACGAATATAATATAATAGAAATCTTATTTAATAGAATATAATAGGCAAAAATTTAGTATTGTAGTTTATATTATAACAGTACAGAGGGTTTCAAATAATAGAATTAGCATTACTAATTTCTCAAAAATAATGTCTTTTTTTCCAAATTACCCATTTTTTTAATACTAATTTAAATGTAGCATTATCTGGTTTAAATTACAATAATCATGTCAATAAAATAAATTATTACCTTATGCTAACTAATATCTATTTAAATTC